GTTCATTCTCGGACCTTAACTATTCACCTGCATTGCAGAGATAGTTGTTCTTTTGATAGCAATGAATAAATATATCGACTTCGTCCATTTGTATTGGCCATTAAAGTAAGTATCATCAGAAAGGATATTTAAGTAGTTGGCTTGAGATGATAATCCGTATTTTGTCCAGGAGGTTATTTTTAACTGAGCAATGACTTGGAACTAAATTTAATCCTGAGAAGTCACATGTGTTATTTGGATTTTGCCTTTAATTATTAATCACTCCCATTGCCCATCTTCTAATTACTATGCATCACCAACAGGTGGAAAAATAAAGATAGTGTATGAGAGTCACAAGAGGGACAGACGTAAATAAAAGAATAAAGTAGAAATTGAAAGAATGTTTACGCTTTTTCATTCCTAGTACCCTTATTACTCAAGTTAACCCCTAGTTCTCATCCATATGTGTTGCTTAATCTTATTCATTTATAATTTATTTGATCTTTTAAAACTAATACTAAGTTACTTATGTGTTTATTATAATATATATCATAATAGAGATTTGAAAGTATAACTTATTTTTAATTCCTTAAATAAAGTATAAAACGTGGTCATTATTCACTTGATACCTATCCTTTTTTTAATTATTTATGTCTTTTAATTTGTTCTAAGATATATCTATGTAAAGCCCTTTAATGTATTTTTTGCATGTGAAGTTCCAACAGGAAAATAAATTCTATGCTTAAGTCCACTAGTAGATGTTTTAAATAAAGAAATATAAAAAGAATGGATATGAAAAATATTAAATCAGACTATCAAAAAATCGGTTTGTTTTGTTACAAGTATATTGAGAGCAAATATATTTCAAAAGTTTCCTAGCTTATCTAATTGAAATTATATATGCAGACATAGAGCAAAGATGACAACAAGGATTTTATTCGAAATTTTTTCCAAGATTTAGCCTAAATATTGCTGTGACTTTGAAATAGTATTTGAGTGAAGGGTAAATCAGGCACTTTTCCAAAAATGTTAATTATTAGGTCTTTAAATGTTTTCTGATATTTATTATTGGTTGTCATTATTAAGTAATATAATTAATTAAAGAAAATATATCAATAATGAATTTTTCCAAAAGTAGAAGGCACTTACATCGACCACAAGCAGTTTGTGTGTATGCTCCAAGCACGACCACTAAAATCAACTGCAATAAAAAGAAGTAAAATCGGCATTACCTAAAGTGACCTGATTTCGGTCAAACTTGTAAGATTTTATGTAAGGTTTTTAGTTATAAGAAGTAGTAAGTTTTTGTTCAATACTCTTGGATTAAGGTGGGTAAACTCTCTTATTTTAATAATTTTCATTTTTCATTTATAAGTTGGGTTTTGAGACTACCAGTAAATCAGTTTCGATGAGATGAATTTAACCTATTCCGTCAAAGGTGATGAAAGACTAATAATTAAATTTTCCCACAAAAATGTGAGTAGAAATTACAGTTTTATTAAATCTCACATAGCCCTGCTTCCATAAAGGTATTCTCGTCCAGGGTAGAGTGGATTGCAGTTTCGGCCTCGCCTAGGTCTCACAGCAATCCCGGCAAGACTCTAAATCTAGTAATGCAGTGTATATTCTCGACATGCTAAGCATTACACCACATTGCTACGAATGCTCTTGGGTCACATGACGGATGTTAATTGCAAGGAAAGCCAGGCATTTTCCCATAGCCCATTCTTTGTTGGTATTTCCTGACCCTCCTTAAAATTCATAGCCGTCCCATTATCCAAGGACACTCGTGGTAATGTTGTATAGTGGTTAACGATCCGGGATTATACGCTGCATTTTCATGGTTCGAGTCCCGCTGAGGGTGATGATAAGACCTAGGCAAGTTTAAGCTGCAGTCCACCCTGGATGAGAACACCTTTACGGGAAGGTAAGGCTATATAAAATTCACTAGAAGCATCAGCTCTACTGATAACATTGTGGGAAAATTAAACTACCAGTCCTTTATCATCATAGACGAAATAGGGTGATACATCTTGTTATTTTTATTTAAATTATTTCATGTGCTCTCTAACCTCCTTAGATTGTTGAGTTTCAAGTAAAAAGCCATTAAGACAGCAGAAATATTTCCCATATTCTAGAGTCAAATCGTTTACCTAGACTTTGAACATCAAATTTTTAATTAATAAGGAGAAATTGTTCAGTCGTACAAACCATCAAGTCAATTTATATGTTCAAGAGAATGGTGACGAATTAAATATTTATTTCCTATTCGAGAATTTAAAACTACTTTAAATTTGAGACATAAAAATTGTGGTGCGTTCAGTTTATCAACAGCAATAACTAGCAAAAAGTACTAATTTTTACAATGCTAACCAATTATTCAAGATCCTGAATATAGCATAATAAATATTTTTATTTAACTATGTTATTATTTTTAATACAATTATATATTATTTCCATTGTAGATATGAAGGCCAAGATGTTGCGGCATCTGTTTTGGTTGCATTATGAAAGTGGTTTGGCCTCCTTTTCGCTACTTGGTCGGGCTATCAGAGCAATCTAGTTTTACGTACCTTGACCGAAGTCCTCTGCCATAGTAGTTTTGACCGCTCCAAGCCTCGGATCGTAGACTTGGTATATTCCCAGAAGTTTCGTCGGCATCGTCCATAATTTTTGCCACCATTAGCTCCAAGCTACCACTCGTCAAAAAGACAATTAAATTAATCTCTTGTCTAACTTTCTGCCGAAGGGCTGTGCTACACTTCTCTTTCTGACCTTGCATTTCTATCTACTTCCTAACTTTTTATCTCATTCCCTCTCTATCACAACTTCTAATTTGTTTGTATTAGATTTCTTTAGAGGTGCTCCCCTTTTGGCAAGTTTAGTGGGGAGGTATAGCACCTTTATGTTTACCTTCATGATCCCCTTTCGCTCATCTTACCGGAATTGCTGATCCGACTTGGGCATCTTATTCGAATCTCCCTTAGGGCCTCAGCGATTCCTTTCCCATCTTACTGGTTGAACGAATTTACTCGACTCCAGGCACCCTATACGTTTTACTCAAGGTGCCATTTCTCATGATCTGCCACAAGCCTTTGGTAGCACTTATTCTGAGGCCTAACGTAGCAGAGCGCCCAGGCTCTGATTCCCAAGCTTGCATATATCAGGCATTTTCTTCACTCTCCACCTTTCTGCTTCAACTCATACACCCAGATCAAACTGTGACAGTGTATATCTAGCCTTCTGC